CGAGATGTTTTTCGGGGTCACTGCTGTGCGTCTCCTGCCAGATCTAGATGCATCTTGAATAGAGTCTAATCCACTATTAAATTTCGCAATCCAGTTTCTAACCAGCCTATACGATACTTCATTATCCCCATAAACTTGGCATATTTCATTAAAGATAGATTTTGGTTCAATTTTAAGTTCATTGCGAGCTTTGATATAGGTGCGAATTTCATCACTTTTCAACGAACGTTTACCAACCATTTTAAACACTAGTATGAATGACTACTCATTTAAGATCCCAATTTTATGTAAGTTATACTTGTCGCACATCAATGATTTTGATATCATTGTGTAGATAAAGAACTAAACCGTGTAAAGATAAATACTGCACGATTATTCCATGAGTGTACGGCTTTTTATTGTCTAATGGACAAAACTTTTGACGGTTCCTTCGTATATTGAATTGTACATAAACTTATTCGTCGGATTCTCTATATTTTGACAAATGCTCATACACTGGAAGCGCTAAACCATACCGCTTCAGAAATAAAGACTATCACAACATTTAAAAGCATTAAGACCAAATTTGTTCAATGATATTTATAAGACTTTTTCGCTTTTTTTACATTGCAGTTAAGGTATTAGGACCCTAATGGGCACTATCAGGAACTAAAGAAATGACATCATATGTCAGATGTATACCTTAAAGTACGCCTGTATGCAAAATTTAAACAGAGTTTACCGTACGGAAATCAAGTTATGGCCACTTTTCTGAACTCAAGCTAGGATGTTATGAGGGCCCTTTTTTAGAAATGAGGAACCTTTAAATAATCTGCAATAACATTCTAATGAAACATGTTTTCCCATGAATTTTTGGTAAGAAACAAATAGTACCATTCAGCTAACAATCCACATAAGCAAAATTATGGTTTCTACTTAAGATTTATGAAATCTGTATAAAAATAGTACCCTACCCCACCCATTTTTACCACATGTCTGACCATTTTTCTACTAAGAGAGCCTAATTAAAAAAATTCTTAAAATTTACCCAAAGGAGTGCCTGTTTTCAAAGTTTCCCTAAATTTTTTAAAAAGTATATTGGTTGATCTTGTAAAATATGAAATACTTTTACCGTCTAGTTTTGATTATATTACACTTTGAAAATATCAGGTACCATAATTATTACTAGATTTAGCATAATTTAGCCAATAAATACCTATATAAATTAAAAATTCAAAATTAAACACCTTTTTCTTTCCATATGGGACATGAGAGATACATAAATAATGTTAAAAGAAAAAAAGAAAGAAAAAAAAAGTTGACCCTTCTGGGGATTGAACCCATGGCCCTCATTTTCAATGTAGTTAACAGTAATCCTAGCCTATTTGAATAGTCTTCAACGCGGAGGTAATGCATTAGGGTGCTAATACCTTAAGTCTATTAAGGGAATAAATATAATTAAAACAAGCCGCATTTGTTCTAAATTTTATGCCATGAGGCATTTGAGAAGCATGATTCAAAACATGATTGTTTTTTCAATAAGATACGTAACGAAAAAGAAAGAAAAGGGACTGTGGTCATATTATGCACACATTATGACATTAGATAAATCGTTTTTCTTTACAAATGTGAACACATGATAAATTATAAAACATTTTAACAATATATACATTAACTTGTGAAATATTACTTTGGAATTAACATGTCCGTGTTATGGAGGCTATTCGTTGCCAAAATTCCAGCCTTTGAAACTTGTCAATGCATACTTTGCTTCTACTAAACAGTTGAGTAAAAATCTAATTGTCGATCCGAGAGTTACATACTGCACTGGTATTAAGCATTTTGATTATCTCAATTTGATAAAATGGAAGCTGTAAACATGCAACTTAGATAATTGCAAACTGTATTTAGAAATGTATAAATTTGCGACATGTAGAAATGTAAACGATAGAACGTACACAACACGTTTAATGCTGTGCATCATGACGTTGAGAATGTAACAGCATCAGCTGACACTCTCAGTTTGACAACACCACACTTTCATTTTGCAATCTAACGCGATTAACATTTGTAAACGATTTTGCAACTTCCATATATGGAATTATCACGGAAATCGACGGACAATTAATAGGCGGAGCCAATTTTCACAAAAGCAGAATATAAAGAGAGGTAACTCTTGCTGAAACAAGACTATTTCAAATTATATAAAACTCTTATAAATTTCACATACATCTACTGCATTACAGTTGACTTTGAATATTTCTGATTTTGTTTAAACGTATTCCAGTACAGGATATTCAAGTAATGCAAAAATTGGTTAACATATAATGTAACAACGTTTGTATTGATAATGAGCATAATGATATGCAAAAACTAAAAGTGGTGAATTAACATAAGGGAATGTTTCTAGTTTTATTATTTACATTCAGCAAACAGTATTAGAATGCAATACGTGAAGTCACTTTTGGCAACACGAATATAAAGAACTGAACAGTAAGTCTGTGCTTTCTTTCTTAAAAGGACTATATTGGGTTATACCAGTTTTTACCAAGTGTACATCCACGGAACTATTCAAAGTTTACTATCGATAATTCCGTTGTATAACCATAAATTTGTGAATTTGTCCCATTTCTAATATTAAAATAAATATTCAATGTATCCTAGCATCTCTGTTTACCTCCATTGGGATGCATTTTGAGTCATAGGATGTGATTTAGCCTTTTATTATTAAATATATGTAAGCTGACGTAAGTAAAGGTCTTCTTTTATGCATTGTACTGAATCAATAACAGCTATAAAATTTGTGTATACATGTTGTCAATAGGCTGGAGTTTTGGCAACGAATAGCCTCCATAATTATCTGGTTCTATAATGTCGCTTGTCGAAGATGAATAAAATACAATACAGTTTGTAGACATCATAGTTGTTACTAAGTACTTGAACATGGCATAATACAATTTTGAAGGCATGAGAGTATTTAGTCCACCCGCTTAGCTTAATACGAAAATCATTGGCTTTGTAATCCAGTGGTCGATGGTTCAATCCTTGGACGAGGCGAAATTTATCTGTGGCAATTGATTTCGGGACTTGTGTCCTATGGCCATTTGCCTCTCACTGCTGATTCAGATATATTTATGATCAGTAGTCGGTCACCTATTATTACTGATAATATTTCCAGGATAGCCGGTTTTATTTTTACACCACCAACAACAACAAATCAATTGTCTTTTGTACACTATGTTTCACTGAGATATAGTGGTTTTAACGAAGTAAACTGGTAATCTACATAAGTTAACAAAATGACAAGTAGTTGAATTTGCAATTGTTCCAAACTGACTAATTGAGACAAATAGATAATTTAACTAAGCTAGCACTATCTCTAAAGATATTTATTTTTTAATTTTTATGTAATATTAATTTTAATATCTTTTGTTTTCAAAATGTATTTTAATCATAGACAGAGAGCGGTGTTCGTCTAATAACTTTGGCATTGTTTGGTGTAACATTGTGTAGGCATTGAAGAATTTGTCATGCTTTTGACAATACTGTTTTACAAGATTTACAATTTTCGAAATGTCAGACCGTATAGATTCCCAACTTTATATATTTTTATTGTCTTTGTTTTATATAAAAGTATTATTGTCTAGAATCGGGTATATGTATGAGCTTGAATACATTAATAATTTTGTACAATATAAAAAATCTGTGAAAAAGTACTTACTAAACTGCTATAAAAGTCAAGCATAAGATGTATATGTCTACTACTAATGTGTTAGGCACTGTGATCCTATATTGTCTGTGATAGCGATATTAGGTTTATTTAAGAAAAGGGCATACTTTTGTAGGTATATTTCCTTTTTCACCAAAATCTTGACCAAAGTTAGTTAGATTAGTTTAATTTGTTTTATTTTAGGGGGAAAGGGTTGTAGTTCTGTATTTTTTAGTTCCATGGACCCCATTGGAAATAAGCTTTTAGCTTAATGGGCTATCTATAGGTGCATGGTACATCTTATTATTTTTTATGATAAAAGTGTGCTCTTTTATGATCTCATATTTATATATATAATATATATGTTGTTTCTTAACTGTATGACATAATTATTGTATCATGTGCTATGTTCCTAAATGTATCAATAAAAGATAAAATAAAATTGGCCGATTAATCAAACTTGGCAGTCATCAAATGACATCAAAAGACTTGGTTGTTAATGAAATAACGGTATTAATTTAACTAATTTAAAGATAAAATTACGATCTTACGTTCGAAACAATTGTTGATTACCTGAGGCGTTGCCATGTCGCTTATGATAGATACATTATTGGTTACAGTGCCGAGTTTTCAACGTATACGAGGCATATTCAGCCATCTAGATAAAAGTACACGTCTTATTAGCGTTAAACTACTTTCTTTAACTACTCTCTAGATTTTCATTACTTATCGTTTCCAAATATAGCCATATGTTCATTTCTTGTAATATATTTACCATGCCTAATTACAACTACATTGAGATTCCTTCGCATGCAAATGTAAAACATGCTAGTAATAGCTTATGTCTTACACATTTTAATTACCATATTATCTTGTAATGTACTTACTTTTATGTGTGTTTTCTCTCAAAATTGCATTATATAAATAGCTAATAAACACGTATCAGCACTGTTATATTAAAATACGAAATAATTTATTTCTGATTTTACAAGGACACAAACCTTTGGTTCTGGTTATTATACGAAATTTGTGACTACTTTTAGGGAGTGTCGTGCGCGTTTGCACATAATATATTTTTGCTGTAGCAGTGAACAGCTCATAAATTGACTTTCTACACCTATTAACATAAATATATCATATATATTGACATAGCAATTTAATCACTTTTCATTTTATTAATTATTACATTGACTATAAAAGTTTTGAAAAACTTGTAGGGTAGATGGTCATCTTATCCATAGTGAACAGTTTGATAGCAGGCTTGATTTGAAGCTTGCAAACACGGGAACAAAGGAACAAAAATAATTCTAAATATGTGAATATTTGCTGTGGGTTTATTTAAATATAACACAAAAACAACTGTTATAACAACAAAATGAGTGTTAAAGAAGTTACACATATATACATTATATAACGTAAAGTCATATAAATAATGAAAGTCATATGGTACCACATCTAACATCCATCCATACAGAAACCTGCATGAAGTTCACTCACACTACATACATGACCGGTAATGTCAACAATGAACAGAAAGTATCACAATTGGACACAAAAGGAGAAACATCATCAAAATGGAAAAGTAAATATATCAACATAATATGATAATAACGTTCATTCTATAACGAAGGAATTCCCAAGTTGTCTCTTCATAACATAAAAGATAGATATATTCATTTTTCTGAAAGGTATAGCGAAACTTATTATTATTGGATATTTAGAAAAGTATTTGTCGTTGATTTTTTTCATCTATTTTTGATCAACTGTAAACTTTTCATCATCGAAAAATCAATGAATAATTCAATATCGAATGTCTAGTAAACTTGTGTTATCTGATATTTACTTAGTAAATATATGTAATGTAAGATATACAAATGGTAATCGATTTTCCATGAAATCGTGTATTTTAACATCAAAATTAAGGTAAATTATTAATTATCAAATATCACGTAAACAATTTATAATTAAGTATCTCCATGAACAACTCTATTGTAAACAATTTGTCAACGAATATCTTTCAAACTATTTACAATAGAATATCTAATGTATATAGTAAACTATTTTCTTTCAAGTATTTAGTAAGTTTAATTTCAACAAATATCAGGAAAACAATTTCTTACAAAATATCTAGTAAAGTGATTAACATCAAATATTTAGTAAACTATTTGTTATCAACTACTTATTAAATAACTTATTATCAAATATATAATGTAAACAATTAATTTTAAATAAAAGGTAAACAATTTATCATCATATAGAAAGTAAACTAGCATTGAACCTTTAAAAAACTTTTTATCAACTATAAGATAAGCAATTGCAAATTATCATAGAATATCTCATAAATTATTTATCTTCGAACATCTTGTAAACTACTACGATAATTTGATGAATTCTTATCTCATATATGGAAAAAATATAATCAAATTATTTTTAAAATTAATTGTCATCAAATGTTAAATAAAAATTTATAATCTAATATAAGATAAACAACGAGTTTATGGTAAATTAATTATCATCGAATAATTTGTAAACTAATAATCAGCTAATATAATTTATAAACGAATACAATGTAAACAATTTATTATCGAATATCTTTTTATTATAATCTGGTATTTATATTGTTTAAAATAATACTAAGTTGAATGGTAGTCTTACTGTAAAACAATTACAAATGTTCCATTCTAAAAGTCAACATACATTTATTTGTTTAAGAAAGCAAAAAAGTTTATTTTTCAAAATCCAATCGTTGAGTGTAATACACCGATAGGAACCGGTTTAAAGTGGTTCCACCCATTTTTCTATGTTTCGTTTGAAAAATCACTGAAAAAGATAATTCTTTAAACTGCAGACTTGCCTTAGTAGAAATATGATAATTAAAAAGTCAGATTGTTTGTTTTGTTTCTGCATAAATAATCCAACTTTATTGTTTAATATGAATATCATAACATAATACATACACTAATTGCAGTTACTCTCATACCCTCGTTTTATATGAAATAAACAAAGAATAGTTTATCAATTCACTAATAACATGTATATCTATATACAATAACTTTTCGAAAGAATGCGGTAGTGCACATAAATTGAAAAATATTACATATAGAAATCGAACGTGATCGAAAATTTCGAAATTAATAAGTATAATTACAATAGACAATAAAAAGTAAATATCTCATCAAATCACAAATTCAATAGGGAAACATATTCACATTCACCAGTGTATTGTCTCAATCAAATAACAAGTGTCATTGTAGGAAGATAAGATAACGTTAAATATGCGTCGATGTGATAACTCTCATCGAGAAGTTGTGTCTAACGGACGCTTTATAAATAATAAAAAGTGATACGAAAGGTGGCAAAAATAGTCCATTTCATCCGTGGTGCAATGAATAAAAATCGCTGCTTAATCACAATAGTAAACAGTGTCTTTATAAATGAAGCGTCGAAAGAAATAGTATTTTTGTCAGATATAAGATTGACTTATATATAGATAGTTGATTTTCACTTATCATAAGGATATACAGAAAAAATGACGAATGGATTAATTCATAGTCTTTAATGCTGGATACCTTCGGCAACTGTGTCATGATGTAGGACTTGTGTTTTACTGAAGTGGGCTTTGTTTTCACTGTTTTGAAAACAATGCTACATGAAAGACAATTAATGAAATCTAAAGTCCGGTACTTTAAGTAAATACCTCTTCGTGTTTAATTTATATATACAACCAACCCTACATACCAGATCACACTCATTCGGATTTAGAGAATTTTAATAAAAGATTTGCCTGTCATTTAAATCAAAGCTAAAATCCCATTAATGTTGCAAAATGAAGTTCATCTGATATGTTAAAATAAATAAAAAATATCTATATAATTAATAATGAGCTTTCACGCTGGAAAACATGGAATGTTCAAGATATACGGAACAGAAAAAAGGAAAAATCTAAGGTTAGTGTTTTCTAACATTCTAACTCACAATCAAAAATAACTTTAAAATACTGAAATACCGGTTGATCAATTAAACTTAAGTAAATTATTGTCAATTGATCGGATCACCCCGTGACCAAAGAAGCTCACAAAAGAAATCGGCACTTTTGTACAGTAACATCTTAAGTACATAACTTGCAAACACGTGTTTTTGTTTAACAGTCATATTGATTTTTGTAACTGAAATTACGGTGAAGCACTATTCAAAACATACTTAATTGTACGTATTAAGTTATTTTGCAAGTTTTGGATAAATGTTAGTTTTGTTCGAATTAACGGCGCACCAACACAAATAAGGTCATATGGTTGCGAAACAGAAAATATTGTCGTGGCTTACCTCGGATGTTACATACTTAAAGCAACACCAGGGGTCAAAACCACCTCATTTGCTGAAGCTAAGAGATGCATTTACTCGAGTAAAATTCGAGTTAATTTAGTCGCTTCTTACGATAATGCAGGGATAAACGGTGGCTGTAACTCTAATGCCTCATCCCTTAACGGCAACCCCTCAGCCACAAAAGGGTTGGATAAGTAAAGTATTTGATACATGTTTACTACTATTGCCATTTTAAGAACCACGAGAGATGTACCAATCCTATATCATTTACTGCTTTCATTTCATAGGTATGCCCTTTAGCATAACAAACAAAATACTCGTAGAGAAAATTTAATGGGATGAAACAACATACTTCATTTTTATAACTGAACTTGCTGTATCATGTCGTTTTCATTTTCTTACAGGACTTAAGCACACTTATTTTACATGCTTGTCATTATGACATTTATTTTCATCGCATGCATCAAACATCCGAAAAAAATCGTAAAAAACTTCAAAATTTAGTTTTGCCTTTTTCTGTTAAAATCCGATTCAAATACGAATTAAGAGGTTCGGATAAATGTAAAATATTAATGCTTCCGAGGGATAACTTTTCTTCTTTGACAATCATTTAGTAAAAGTATATGTTCATTTTTAGGTTTTCATCTTTAATCATCATATATTTTTTTATTATAAATCAAACCCAACCTATAATTAAGGAATACTAAAACATTCATTGCATAGAGAGAATGTAACCATAAGAGCCATGATATTTATAAAGTAAAACTGCGAAGAATAACCCCTGTTAAGATGCCTCCTGCAGAATAATATGTAATTATAATTTCGCAAATGGATCCATATAATCTCCTTTTTATTGAGAGCGCGACCTACTTCTCTCGATTCTGCAATTTTTAGGGGGAATTGGCAGATGTTTTTTTTCTGCATTCCGTTATTTATTAAGTCTAGTTCATCATAATAACTTGTGATAATTTGCATTAACTCTTTGATTCTTCAGCCGAGGAAACAACGGATGTCCTTGGCGAACTCACAGGCGTTGTCGGCCTACTTATTGAACCTTGAGAACTTTTTGTCATCATTGTTTTAATTTCCTTTAATTGCTCGTGCATAGAACACATAAGGTCTTCCATTCCTGTTATACGAGACTTTAGAGTGTCCTGGTCATCACGCACTGTTTCGACCATATCATAAATTTCAGTTACGTTTTTATTTATCTCAACTGGTCCGGTAAGTGACTCACCAACCTGCATACGCAAGTACCTTGCATGGTTCATACTTCTTACAGCGTGAATCAAACGGCGTTTATGTATTATATACCTATCGTCTGCAGCATCGACGTTTCTTCTACGCAGACGACAAATTGTCAAAAATTCTGTTACAACTTTAGCAGCTGCATTTTTATATTTTTTATCCATTTTGATTTGCTGAACGAATGTGTGTACATATTTTTCGCCTCTCGTTTGCTCAAGCTTTCTTGTTAAAACTGCTACACAAAGCGCCATAAGTCCTACACCCATCATTCCCGTAAATATTGCTAGAACACGCCCACATGTGGTTCTAGGAACGACGTCTCCGTAACCGAGTGTCAGAAAAGTAACGCATGTCATCCATATTGCTTGCATAAAGAATGTTTCTGCATGATCGTCTAACGTGTAATGCTCACACATACGAACTGAGTAACTGTTTACCAGAAGAACTATGCACATAATAGACACTAGGCAGGTACCTGGGTATATGCTCATGAGGGCCTTGAAGACAAACTGGGCGTTAATGTTTACATTACTCATGGCGCCTAAACTTTGCACAGTAGTATCACAAAACAATGCGCTATGGACTACCAGAAATCTCATCAGCAAGTACACTCTCATGAACATCAAGATCGTAAATATAGAATTCAAGGGGAACATTTCAACGGTAAAAGCATGGAGTTCGTCACTTGATACACTTGATACGTACATCGGCAGTGCAGCAGCAGTTGTAAATGGCATAGGATGGATGGCACAAACAATCAGCTCAGTTATAAGTTTAACCAAGTCTTTCCAGTCAGTAACAAGTTTCCAGTTACTTAATCCCTGACTTATTAGCCTGAGTTTTATCCCAATCAAGTGATACATTATTATAGTTACAAGAAGACCTAGTGTGGTAATTGTCGTAATCACCCGAAGGTATACGGAAATCGGTTTAAAGGAATTGTAGGCTTGTGCAAACTGACATTCCGTGTCTATGATAGTTATAATTATTCCCAATATGGCTAACACGAATGCCATATCGGATACTCTTGTCCGACGTCCGATCAACTCTTTGCGGACGCGCAGACGATAACCAAGATTCTTGGTGTCCAAAACGCTTTCTCGTTTTCCTCCAGGCATGATAAGGTTTTGTGTGCTCACGTTATCTGTGCTAACGTATGAAGGGTACTGCCAGTTTCCGTTAACTAGAGGTAGATCCGGGGATTCCATAGTCGGTGCTGAACACACGGGTAAATTCTGAAAATAACAATTGACAGAAGTGAGAACATCGATGAGGAACATTGTTTTTCATTGTTCCTTTCTTATTGTACATAAGAGGCAAAGCAATATCTATTGTATGCATTCATCTACTTAATGGCATACTGGAAACAGGCCGCTTCCAATTACGAGAAATACTGTCTTTTGATCTTGTAGTAAAACCATACATTACAAGCATTAAAAAACGTCAGTGAGCGTATGATGTATACACAATAAGGAATATGTGACGAAGTATAAAGGATTAACTAGTCCATGGTGGCATAAACTAAATTTGGTCTACCTTGTATTTTAGATTTTAGTAAAAGCCTCAAATAAGTTTCCCGATTTTGTTAATATTCAAACATGTTTAAAGTTGTCACAGTAAACAAAGTCAAAGGCAAGCACAGCTATCGACAAAATACATAACTGAGTAAACTAAAGACTTACTGATGTGACAGTTTAAGTCACGAATAAAAAGGAGGAACACAATTAAGGAATAATGACATAAGGTTCTTAAAAATACATTTTAATAGAACAGATATCAGTTACCATTATATTACCTTTTCTTTACAAATTCACAGATTGTCTTTTAATTCTGCTAAATTGTGCTAAAATATTTTTTTTAAACGCAAACAAGTTCGTATCTCTATATTCAAATGCAAAAATGATACAATGCTGTTAAAAGATTTATGTCACTGACACTCATCTGGAGAGCACACAACTCAAACAACTCATTACACGCTTATAAGTCCAAAGAACGGTTTACCTTCTCTAAGAATTTGCCAACAATTGCAACACATTTACGATATATCTGAATTCAATATTTTGACAATGTAAATGTACTACGTATCATCACAGAATCCATAAAAGTACATAAAGATTTATGTGTTCACATCCTTTAACATGAGAAAAACGTATGACCTTTTAATATCCCCATTACAAATGAGAAAAAACTAGCTTTATCTGATAATATATAAATCATTTAACATTGCCTTTGGCATAAACAAGGAAAAATCCATACTCAAGAAAACAAGAAAAAACAAACAAAAACTACATGGAATTTATATCGAGACATAACATATTATGCATAGGTATAATAATTACCCCTCCCCACCCTCCCCCCTTTTCAAAAAAAAAAAATAAATAAATAAAAAAATTTATTTAATCATACATGTAGAATAAGATAACTAATAGCATTATGTATTGCTATTTTAATGTTCAATGAAGATGAAAAATATGTCATGAATAAACTTAAAAAATATTATAATACTATTTCATATGATCTACAACTGTATTGAAACTTACAAAACTATCTAACAAGGAATAAGCAAAGTAAATGTTATACAAAAAGTTACATTTAAACAGAAGTATTATTTATTCTACTAATCGATATAAATTTACTCGCCTTCTTTCTTTAAGATTTATATCCGTTTTCGTGACAAAAAGTTTTGCAAATACAAACGCGTTTGAATACAAACTCAAGCTTATATTTTCTTGGAATTTTCTAGCATACCTACTGAAGTTCTATATGGACAGGAAGCCATTACTTATTCTTAGCGTTCGTAAATCCCTATATTACACGCTATTCTTAAATAAAGGAAGATAAAACATTTCCACACTATTTTGTATTTCATCCATCATAGTGACGTTAATTTGACAAAATAGTTGAAAACGGAAAGGTCAAACACTTTCGAGATACATAATGAAGCAGAGGGAAAGTTTGAACGGTACAGAATCATTGCAAGCAATATTTCTTACTCAAATCGATGTCCTAAAGAAATGCATCTATGATAAGCTTTATAAGGATATTAACATAAAGATCATTTTGTTTTCAATTTTTTAATAGATTTTATCGTTAGAAAATACCACCTTTAATCCAAAATTTCTGCATCTACATAAGAGACATTATATACAATCACTGGTAGCAGTTGCGATTCTTAAATATTCATTTGTACCTTTGTAGTGTTGACGCAAATTTACAACATTTCACATGACAAATTTGTTTTGTGAAAATGTACTTTGCTTCAAAAGAAACACAGGTCCCATGAGAGTGTCGAAGAAAAATCTATTGAATGACACGAATGTGTGCTTTTACATGTACATGTATATGGTTGCCGATTCAGTGAATTATATATTTGAATATCTGTCTACGTTTCACTATTATTCGTTTTTAATTGAAATAAAACGCGTCTTTTCATATGTTCATAACAGAAACTAAATCCCATAACGTTATAAAGTACACTGTCCGTAGGCTGATTTATATCTTAACAATTATTACAGTTCTTTTATGAAGAAATTCAATATATTTGTTGAAATAAAGCCTTTTACTTCATGTGTGACCTTAAAAATATGTTCTTCTATAAAAATCAACGGAACTAAGTAAAACGAAGTTTATGTTTCTGAAAGTGAAATGCATCGCACTTCAAAATGAACTTTTTTCGTGTTACCAATTTTTGTTCCTACGTTGACTTCAAAATGGTAAATGATAATTATGTGAAATTTCCACCTTAAATCATCGAATTAAACGGTCTTAAATCTGAACATGCAATGATTAATGTGATATATATGGTCTAAACAGAAAAAAGAGATATTAATTTTTTTAACTTTAATACAAACTGATCAGATTTAGGTCTTTTTTCCTTTATCCAAACACACAATTGTAATACTCGAAGAAGTTAAACGAAGATACATAATAATACTAATGATACAGATAATGACCACCTGTATTTATATACATTTACCATACTGTCTTATAATGACAATTAGTTTGGTTTCCGATTTTATCAGGAAATTGTCTTTAGAAATATGAGATCAATTTTACAAAATTCATTCTCTGATTAAAGATGTATTACCTTTCAAATTTTCAATTACGAATTGATTAGAATTTAAATCATATTTTATGTTTAAAGAGATAAAGTAAAGAGGGATTTACAGGTAGTTTGCGCAAAACAAACGATCGACATTGATTTTATTATCATGATGTTTTAATACTTGTATCCACCTAATTACCTTTTAGCGACATTAAGTTCTTTCATATGCTTCAATTAATATAAGCGTAACGAGTTGAAGTTCGAAAAAGCATAAATGTGGTTAACATATGTTTAAATTACAGCGACTAGTACTAGCTTAAGAGCAAATAATTATGAAAAAGGAAAGCACGGCACGCACACGCGCACATGCACAACAAAATACTTAATTGATATAGATTCTAATTTGTTATTTTCATATAAATGAATTTCACAAAAAAAAGTATTACTGTTCTGCTTCCCTTAATTAATAAACTAATTCATACACTGGATTTAATCTAAACTGAAGCCTATATAAAGTCATTCTTCCGCTTATTGCCACGGGAAAAATATAAAAGCCGTAAAACTTACCGGTTAAATGCAAAGATACATAAGTTAAGGTTTAATCTTGAGACAAATACGGTCATCCTTTCATTTGTGGCTGTTCACACATTGTCTGAAAATAAACGAAACATTACTTAATATTTAATCAAAATGTTTTAATTTTATGTAGAAAATGAAATACAAGTCAAAGGCACACAAATGTATATATTTTATATAATGAAGTAAAGCATTATGGCAATCAGGTGTGTAAAGATCATAAGAATAAACTATTAGGCTGGGCTGACATGAAACGTATATAGGCGTAAATTTGGATGTAAAAATATATAAATGTTTCATTATTAACCATATAGTTACATATAAATGTATGGTTATTAACCATATAAGCATATCAATGTATGATTATTTACCATATATTAGCATATAAATACATTATTATTAACCATATATCAGCATATAAATGAATGTTTAATAACTATGTACATGTACAAGTAACATTACAGTTTAAGTGACGTCGAAACATGCAATGTTGCAGAGGCAACTGAATGTGTCTCGCCATATTTTGAATAGTCTGTGCCAATCGTTTTTTTATATAATGAAAGGCCGCGATTAATGTGCTTAATTAGATTGAAACATGTTTGCTTTCATCTAGAATTATTCTGAAACCATTATACTCAAGTTTCTTTCCAGTTTTGTTTGGCAGTTAAAAGTAAAGAATTTAGTATGACGGCAGTACAAAGCCCATAATGTACCATATTTTTGGAATGTCTATATCTTAAGTTGGTCTGGACGATCAACTTTCCAAGGTTTGTAAGAAAAAACAATTCAAGAGTGATATACTGATGTGAAGAAAAAGATTTGTTTAAAAGCAATATTTTGTAAATTACTGGCTGTGATATTCCCTTCAACAAAGATAATTCTAGGAACACCAGAACAACTGAATTTCCGAGACAGATACATCTATCAGACAGACAGAAAATTCACTTATGTATTATTACATTTGAATAATTTCTCACTTTTAGCAACAGTAATAGCATATAAGGACATTAATGAAGTGTTAAAACTATTCACTGTAAGTATAAGTGTTGATAATTAACGCATAGATATAACCAAAGGATAGCAAGTTTTTGTCCATACCCCAGTTGTTGTCACATGTATAGCAATTATTTATTTAAAATACTCATTTAACAGTGCTTATAACAAGCACACCAAATGCATTTCTAAGCATACGTTTTTTCCTTAAAAGTCAGTAAACAAATAAATCTGATTAAGGACTTCAACAAGCACTATTAGATTGAAAAAGCTGATGAAATACTAATTACTTGTCATCACTTCAAGTTTCCATGTTGCTGTCCAAAAGGTGAATAGATACACAAACTAGTATATCTTTGAGATATATAAAATCTAATTTACTGCAATTACTTTATTTCTTCAGAAGTAAAATCGTACTTTATAACAATTTATACAGACATTCAAGTTTATTATCGGTATTCTTCATGAGAAATATAGGGCGCATAAATGCAAAGTCAAAAACCTTTCCATATGCATATGAAATACTAAAAAAAAACACTGCTGTTCATTTCCAAATGAATTCTCCGAGGAGAATGAATGCCATGACAACTATTCCATAATACGCTATATCTACGCCGAATTATATGCCTCATGGCATAACTGAAAACATGCAGCTCTAGAAATAGCTGCAATACAATACAACAATCGATGTTGACAATTTGGTATTGAACGTGGAGAATGATACATCTGAATTTCATGCATGAAATGATGTTTGGCACGTGCAAAGAACAGGCAAGAGCTGAGGCAGAATAATGTGGCAACGTCATTATACAATTCACGCACATGTATTATCATTTCTGTTAATATTGGAAAAAAGTCGTAAACATCCCGTTCAATAACTACATAAATTTTATTTTGATGATAACTTGAAAAAATGATTTTGACATAATCTAAAAAGGAATTATGTTATGAAAACTGCAAAATTATTTGACAAATCTACAGGTACCTCAGGTAGGAATATTGTAACAATCTAAACGGTATTCGTATGAAGATTTTTAAATATTATAATTAAAGCAGTTATAGACAACATTATGTGTAGACTACATATATTATCAATATATAGCACCCAATCTCCAAGAAAATAGGAGCTTATTTGGAATACAGTATCACTGAAAAGGTAGTTTGTTATAAAAATGCGCACTTTACATTCTTGCACGCAGTATTAGCAGACTTTGAACATATTTTAACTGCATCACGTGTTTTTACACATCATTTTCTCTATAGAATAGAAGTCAATGGTTATAAAAACTGCATAGGTATGAAGCTAAAATAAATGCGTTAAGAATCACTTTTTATTTAAATAAGATACTGCCGACTGTGCAGACAATGAAGAATGCTGATTTGCAAGACAACAGATACAGACAATGAGGCATCAAATAAAAAAACAGGATCTCTTTTCACAGGTATTTTTCCAAAAACGTCAACATATATACATTGTTTGGTAAATTTTTCATCAGAGCATCAATTCTCAAAACCAATTTTGACGTTTTTATGTGCCAAACTAAGTGGTATTCTGGTTCTGTACAGCCTGCTTTTTGAGTGGTTGCTCCTTCTTGTTAATTATATAAATATCCCCAAACTTAGTACTCACGCTTTCCTTTACTCGGGGACCAAACGCCGCTTGTCATGGAATGGCACGAAAATGTGGCTTTGAAGGTTTTAGGATGACCAACATATTAGCACATCTGTGGATGTTTCTAAATTCCAAATTTAACTATTTTTCACTATTTTTTTTATTTAAATATCTGCATAGGGGCGTGGGCGGTAACTTGCACTTTCTAGAACCGTCCATAAACAGCCTCATATAAACCGAGCCTTCAACATTTTCAATTTTGTCATTTTGGGCGTTCTTTTATCAAAGTGCGAGGGCAGCTGGTTGATTACTGGACCATTGTATCGAAGATCTTATAAGGAACTGTTTTTTTTCAGCTCCAGCCCAAACTTTTGTTCATTAAAAGTGTTTTCTGTAAGGTGAATTTGATTGCTGGGATTTAAATTTTGTATATTAAAGATAAATAACATGAAAATGTTTATGATGGCGAACATAAGAATGGTTTCCTTTATACGTTTTTGTTAAACGATGGTCGACAAAATTTAAGTGTGGAGAGAGAAAACTAGATCATTGCTTTTGTAAATAAGCTTTTGCTTTCAGTTACTACTAACTTTGTATTGATCATGCCATTTTCACATTATTAGTATTATACTTAAAAATTAATCTAAGCTTTATAATGAAAAGATGATTAATGTTCATAAACCAGTTTGTTACAGAAAAACATTAAGTAAATAGAATTCATAGTCTTTTAATAATGATAATGGTAATAATAATCGTAATTATTTTTGAAGCTATTTTATAGTGCAAAGGGAACATGCAGTTTCTAGAAATAAGAGAAATGTCCATGTTATGCACATAACGTTTGAAAAGCATTTCAAAGTTAATGAAAATAAAAAGTGATCTCTTTGGCGAGGGAGAATTGGATTCTGACACATGACACGTTGATTTAATTGCAATGGCATGTTCTAGGAACATAACTCAAATTAACTCATATGATACGTACATTAAAAAACGCAAGGTGATTTGAAAAATATATTTAAATGAATTTGACTTACACTGTTTGAGATACTAAAATCAAATGTAACCTTGTTGTTTTACACAAAATCATACAGTTTAATCGTTATCGTTTCGAAGGTTAAAAAGATATTATTTATTAATTAAATTCAGCTATACGTGGGAGACAGAGTGGCAAAAAATGTCGAATAATTGATGAAGCCTGTAGACATAGTTAAGATAATGACATAGCAATTTCCACAAACAACCTTAATTTGGTAAATAATTGAACAAACTAGCACAATTTTACTTGATGAAATGTCAAGTTTTGTCCTAATTGACTTCAATATCACATTTGTACACAAGCAGAGAGATACTTATTGTGAACAAGTTACATTGATATTTCTATAAGATACAGTGCTTGTTATTTCTTCCAGTTTATATCGTGCCACTTTACAGCAAAACGAATTTTATTTATATGTAAGTATGCCGTGAATGGTAAAAAATATTCAAGAACTTCTACAAAAACGTATTATGTGCAATAGCGAAAGGAAAGAATATGAAAAACCCAACACAAAGTATTTATAATTACAAAGCAGGTTATTTTTAGTTAAATATGGACCAAGATTCCTTAAAGATCGCCAAACACAACGCAATTTTAAAATATAGACTTAAAAGAATGTCGTGCTGAAGGCTCTTCAAATATTGAAAATATTCAATTTTCGAGCCACCATGCATGCAAAAACAACAATAACAACAACAACAACACCACACTGCAATGGCGATAGTGAGAAAGTTTAAAGAGCAGAGACGCTAAAGACTTTAGTGCTTTTGAACAATAAAGTGTTATGGTTGTCATTGAACTATCAATTAACATATACGATTTTAAATATATCAATTAAAATCTGAAAACATACTGTACCGAGTTTTACAAAGAACATTTGACTAAATCATTTTATCATACAATATTCTCCATTTTAAAATAAATATGTCCAGTTATTTTAACAAATATACAAACGGGACAAAAATATCATGAAAATACTATAGAGCATTATTTATTTGCACATTTCCTTGAGTCCTTTACTTGTCATTATTTATTTTTAAACAAACAATTAATTATTTTATTCACAATGATTTATCGTGGGAATGATCATATGTTTGATAGCTTGAACGGTCGCCTATATGATGAATTTATTATTCAATATGATAAATGTGATTTATATTAGATGCCATTTGATTGTTGTACATTGATGCTTATTTAGAAATTCAAAGGTAGTATAAATAGATGTGATTACTTATGTTCTGTTTTTCTTTTGCGAAATAACACAAGCAGCAATGGTGTGTTTTCAATTGGACATGCAAGTAACAAAAACACAAAATGAAGCATCGTCTAAACAACTGTATGATAGAATATGTCACGATATTTATACCAGTCTGTAGACAGAAAGGCATCATTGTTATGAACTGTACACAAAGCCCACGAAACATTAATTGCTCAA